GGCGTAGTTGAGGGTGTTGAGGGTTTCATCGAAGTCGGCGGAGGAGGGGCTGACGCAGGCGGTCATCACGGTCTTGGCGTCCCCGCCCAGCGAATCTTTGAGGATCCTGAGGGCGCGAGGGCGAGGCGCGTCAGGACCCCAACGCGCCAGGACCAGGGCCGGCGGGCCAGACCCCGGAATGGCCCCTCCTTCTGGCTTCCTGTGGCCGGCGCGCCCCACTAGTCAGAAGGGTTCCCACCCCCTATTCGCGGGCCCAACACTCCCCTCGACCCCAGACCGGACAGAAGCCCGAGGCGGCTCATCGGGTGCTCTTGGAGTCGCGGTAGGGGATGTGCTGCCGCGGCGCTGGGGTCCCCCAGGGCGCTGATGACGTTGCCCAGCGCCAGGAGGCTGCTGTTGATCCGGATGCTCTGCTTGAGCCGCTCGCCCGTGCTGCCAGTCTTGAGCACCTTCTCTGAGCCCGCCAGGTCCACGAAGTGGAACTTGGAGACAAGCAGCTGGCCCACGGCGGGTCGCGGCTGGGGGCTGGGGGCACGCCCCCGCTGCTCCAGGGTCACGGTGGAGACCGTGTGCGAGCGGCTGGAGAGGCGGTTGAGATGCGTGGCCCCGTGTGCCGCACCGCGCTGCCCATCTCCAGGAGGCTCAGCACCTCGTCCAGACCCTCCACGTCCACCTCCTTGACCCCACACAGCACTGCGGGCACAGAAGGCTGTGAGCGCCGAGGCAGGCGCAGCCCGGACTGACCAGCAGGGAGGGCGGGCAGAGCAGGACTAGCCCTCCACCTGCTCTTCTTGACCCAGGCCCCTCCTCCCGTGCCCAAGGAGTTCTGCCCAACCTGGTTTGGGCTTCCCCCCATGCCCACCTCAATGCCTCTCACTCTGTGTACATACTGGACTTGGTGGAGGCAGAGGAAGCTAAAGCAAAACCTCCAGGGCTTGGATTTTCCANATACTGGACTTGGTGGAGGCAGAGGAAGCTAAAGCAAAACCTCCAGGGCTTGGATTTTCCATGACGAGGTGCCCCTCCCAGACAGGTAAGTCACCCTCACAGAAGAGGTGAAGCCTGCCCGAGCCAGGTGCCCCACTCAGTCAGGAAAGGACCTCGGAGTTCCTCACCAACATTCCCACGATCATCTTCCGGAAGCTGGATGTCACGGCTGGCAGTGTCCACCTCCAGCAGGTCTCGGAACTCCTCCTTGTACACTTCCAGGTAGGACACGTGC